GTTTGAATAAATCAACAGCTTGCACTTTTACTGACTGCTTCTGTTAAACTTCTGAAAGCAATTATATTCCACTAAAAATGCTTTTAACTTTGAAAATTAAAAATGTCATTGAAAGTCTAGCTTTATGTGACCATTTAAAAATTTATGTTAGAATTTTAAATTACAACAGTGCTTCAGTACTATGATTTTACTCTCTCAGATGACACTGTCTTCAGTTTAACCTGCACACGTTCCACTATTTAAATTAGATTTTCAGGCTCAGAGGCAGTGGCCTTGTCTTGTTTCACATTTGCTAATTCAGTAGGAATTGTGGGAAATTAAAATATGGATTTTTTTTAAAGAATAAAGAAAAAGAAAGTTTAAAAAATCTTAGACAAGAAAAAGACTTAAGAAAGAGACTCTATATAGGGAGAATGAAGAGCAAATATAAAAAGCAAGATGTTAGTCTGTTCAAAATGTTTGAGAAATGCAATATTAAGTTTAAAGGACAATTAACTAACCCTGTCAAATTAAACTAAGAACTTTCACTAATAAGGAGGCCAGCCTTGTATCTTGAGTCTCGTATCTAAGCCTGTACCTTTCCACAGCCTTATTTTGGTCAGAACCTTTTATTGGCACCCTTTCATTATAGTAGCAATAACAACAATAGAAATTGGGAAAGGGGTAAATTAATAATCATTGTGGGTGAAAACCAGAATAGTCCTACCCTCTTGGGCTCTGAATACATTAAAAAAACTGGGGTACTGTTTTGGCTTAGGTACTTAATAGTGACTAGACTATAAATTCCATGAGAGAATTTGCTTGTCAAGCCTGGCCCTAGTAGTGTGCTCTAGACACACTAGGCACTTACTGATGTTTGTTAAACTGAATCATGATATGTATTAAAATTTCTTATATAACCATCAACTGTTTTAAAAATGCTTCTTCCTTCCTTGCCTCCCCCCAAAATAAATAAATTCCAATACATTTGTATTTGCCAAAGCTGTCAGCTGGTTCCAGCTGCTAGCCAATTACAGAGAATATCCAGGAGCCTAAAACAGAGAAAAAACAAGTTTGCTCAAGATTAAAGTCACCCCAAAGAGGCCTGTTTCATCTTGCTAAGGTGAATCAAGCTCCTTTGGTAAAACTTGGACTTGGCTTGATGCTCTGACTCCCCACCCAGTCTCCTTCACTCCATTCCTTGAGGAGTCCCATCTCCTTTCCTTTCTCTCCACTCCCCATGCCTTTTCTCTCCTTGGACTTTCAATTCAAAGTCATCTGTTGCTTTCCAGTTTGGATTCCTTTAGGAACATAGATCCTAATTTTTTTTACCTTTTTTAAAAAACTCCTTTTACTATTGGGGAAAAGGAATTCCAGAGAAGTTCAGTCATTTACCCAAGGTCACAAAGGTAGTAAGTGGAAGAGGCTGGATTCAAATTCAGGTCTTTAAGCTCCAAGTTCAGAATTCTTTCCTTGTTACCATGTTGCCTTTTCTGTTTCATCTGAGGTCTCTCTTTGTGATGGCTCCCAACTGCTCTCTGCTTTCTCTTCTCAAGGCAAACTCACTATCTATCCTGTTCTTTATCCCCATATTAGCTCAGATTTCAGTGGCTCAATCTAGTGGTGTGAATAGAGCACTAGGGCTGCAGTTAGGAAGATCTGAGTTCAAATTTGGCCTCAGACCTTACTAGTTGTGTGATTCTGGGTAAATCACTTAATAACTGTCTGGCTCAGTTTCCTCAACTGTAAAATGAGGATAATAACAGCATCTACCTTCCAGGGTTGTTGTGAGGATTAAACCAGATAATATTTATAAAAGCATTTTATCACTGTGTCTGAAACATAGTAGGTGCTTAATAAAGGCTTGTTTCCTTCCTTCTATTCAGGTTCTGTTGCCACTTGCATCTTACTTTGCCTTTTAAATTCTTGTGGGCACTAGCTTCTGAACATATCTATCCCAGATAGATAGCCAAAAGTAAGTGGAGAAAATATATCATTTCTTATTCCTGGTCAAACTGGAAAACACTGAATCTGGTACATTTAGTTGTGGTCACAATGGGTGTCTAAACTTTCATTGGATCACTGACCTCTGTTTTTTGTGCTTTTTTTTGCATTAAAGTGTTTTAGACATGTTTACAGTGAAGGAATGTGACTAAAGACTTTGTTTTACATTTTATTTCAACCCTCCAGACTAACTACATGCCTAAAAGGTTTGTCAGTCATCCAGAGCAAAAGGCGAAACTAGGTCATGAATCACTGACTAAGAACCAGTGACCCAAAGAATATAATTTTATTACAGATTACACTGAGTCTGGCTTGTGAGATAGAGAAAAGTTCATTGTTCAAATGTGCTGTAATTTTTAAACTTAGAACCTTTTTTTCCCACTTCAGCAATCATTGGTGAAGCTATATGTTGTAGTGTATTCTAGCCAGAATGACCTGAATTCAAATCTCATTTTAGATACTTCTAGCTGTATGACTTTGGATAATTCATAACCTCTCTATGCCTGAGTTTTCTTGTTTGTAAAAAAAAAAATGATGACTGCACTCAATTGCTTCATGGGTCCCTTTATACTCTAAATCTATGAGCCTGTGATCATTTATTAAGTACCTGATGTGGTTAGAGCATTGCAGTGGATGCTGGGGGAGATATAGAATTAAGATAAGACAGTATTTGTCCTTAGGAGAATCAATCCAGAGGAGACTGAGGAGTGTTTAGAAAGATAAGAAGTAAAATAGGAGGGTATGGGCTCTCTGAAGTTTAAGAAGAGATTATCTAATAAGAGAGAGTCAGCAGTGTCAAATGCTGCAGAAATCTCAAGAAGGATAAAAATTGAAGAAGAAAAAAGTCCACTGGGTTTGGTGACCTCAGAGAGAGCAAGGCAGAAGCCTGATTCCAAAGAGAGAATGGGTAGTGAGGAAGTAAAAGCAGCCTGAATAGACAACTTTTTAAGAAGTTCAATTGCAAAGGGGAATGGATATAAGGGACACTAGCTGTAAGGGCTAGAAGAATATAAACGAGGGCAAAGACTTTAAAAAAAAATCTTTGTGTTTTTAGCATCTAAGATAGATACTGGCATATGGTAGGTATTTAATAAATGACTTGAATTTATTTGAAAAGGTCAAGAGAGGCCTTTGGAAGGGAATATTGCAGCTTTGTGAAAGAGGGGAGAAAGGAGATGAATTCTGGAATAAGGTCCTGAAGGAAGCATGAGGGAGGAATTCACAGGTATGAGAATAGGACCTCTATACATTGGGATATTTCTTTTCTTTTTTTATAATATTTTGTCTCCCCCGCCCCCCAATTACATGTCATGACAATTTTTAGCATTCATTTTTACAAGATTTGGAGTTCCAAATTTTTCTCCCTCCTTCCTTCCCTTTCCTCCTCTCTTCCTAAAATGATAGGCAATTTGGTATAGAATATACATGTGCTATCATGTAAAACATATTTCCATATTAGTCACAGTTGTGAAGGAAGAAACATCAAAAGGAAAAAGAATCATGAAAAAGAATAATGTAAGTGAAAAAAGTATGCTTTGATCTTCATTCAGTGTCCACCAGTTCTTTGTCTGGGTGTTTCCTTTGTGAGTCCTTTGTACTTGTCTCGGATCATTGTGTTGCTGAGAAGAGCTGAGAAATTCATAACTGCTCATCATACAATGTTGTTGATACTGTGTACAATGTTTTCCTGGTTCTGCTCATTTCATTTTACATCAGTTTGTATAAGTCTTTCCAGGTTTTCCTGAAATCTGTCTGTTCATCATTTCTTATTGCACAGTAGTATTCCATTACATTAATATACTACAACTTGTTCATCCATTCCCCAATTGATGGGCATCACCTCAGTTTCCAATATTTTGTCACCATGAAAAAGGCCACTATAAATATTTTTGTACATGTAGATAGTAGGGATATTTCTAAACATGTTATGTTTACAAAATAGCTTATCGTTTGGTCTGAAGATAGCTATCAAACAGAGGTATAAACTTTATGACATTGTAACTATTGGCAATAGTGCTAAGTGCCATTTTCTGTCAGCAGTTTTTCAATGTAAGTATTTTCAAAGTAAGTATTTTGGTGCTTTCCATTATTAAAACAGAAAATTCACTGGCAACCGCTGGTTATATTCTTGGGCAAATTCAAAAGGGACAGGTACTTACTGCTGAAAAGGACAAAAGACCATTTTATCCTATAAATTTAGGTCTGTTTAGAAACCTATCTGGAGAACTATTTGGGAAAGAGAGAATCATATGCATGCGTGTGTGTGTGTGTGTGTGTGTGTGTGTGTGTGTGTGTGTGTGTGTGTGCTGTCTGAATTACTCTATAAAAATTCCCTAAATTGTCTCTGAGTCACTGGATAATTACCAAAAAAAACCCTCAAACTTCCCACTTTTCTTTGGCAATGTGTGTCTTTTAGCATCTGTTGAAATCACTGGACTGTGTTAAAAATACATTGTGACAAAGTAAATTTTATCTTGGTTCAATTAAAAAAAAACTATGACTATTTTCTACTGTCCATAACTTCAGGTCTCCTTTGCTGAAGTAGCCAGCATCATAAAGCTCAGATGGTGTGCTTTTTGTGTGCTGATTTCCTTTACAAAATAATGTATTTATATACTAGTTTTATCCAGCTATGAAATTTAATACTGTTATTTCAGTATAACAATATAATGATAAATATTTCATAGAATTGTAGCAGTCAAATACTTGCATAAAGTATTTGTAGAATTCCTTACTAAAGCCATTATTTTAGTGTTTTTAAGAGGAGTATAATTTTATCACAGGGGATATATTTCTGTTGCACAGTGCTCCAACAATAATCTGTGTGCAAGAGCAAATGTTATGTTTCTCTATCATCAGTGGCCACTTTCTATTAGTAAGGGATCAGCGGAACTGCCTTTCAACAATTCAGGCAGCCATACAAAATGAAAATTGATGGGGGGAAGGGGTGAGGGAGCATTGTTGCCTAGATTGCTAGGAATTGTTTCCATTCACTATACCTTCAATTTGTATTTTAGTGCCCACAGCAGGACAGCTTTGGAACTACGGCTTCATTGATGGCAACTGCTCATGCCAGTAAAATTTCTGCACATCTGCTGGCAAAGCCGGAACTTGCTGAACGATGCCAGTGCATTCCTAACAAGGTAGGAAGGCTTCAGCCCAGGTCATGTGGAAAAGATATTGAATAGGGTGAATCAGACCCCTCAAATGTGGCCACAGGTACCCAGGGCAGGCCTGAACATGTTGAAGATTGGAACTAATGTCTCAAGCTACTCAGGTTGCTTATTGGCATTTCCCCTGGCTACTTCTGGGACCACATAGCCTGACACCCTGGCTCTGAGCTAGAGGAGCCCTTTGTGCTCCATGTACCTGGAAAGCTATTAATTTGGTTTAAGGTGGAAAAGAGTAGAATTTTAGAATCGGAAAGAAGCCCTTCATTTTACAGATGGGGAATCAGAGGACCAGGGAAGATAAACAAGTTTCCTAAGGTCACATACCTAGTTATTCTTCATCATTGGTAGAGATGGGATTAGATCTCCTGGCTACCAACTCTTTCTGCTCTATTGTTCTATCTTTTCAGACTTTGGACAGAAAGACCCAGCTGTATTCTCTCCACTCCAAACTCAATTGCCAGGTTAAACAAGAAACAAAATAAAAACTACAGTAACATGAAAAGCAACAGCAAGGAGGATCAGATATTTAGAACTAGAAGATATTTTATTTGCAGATGATGAAATTGAGGCCCAGGGAAGTTTAGTGACTTGCCCAAGGTCACAGACATACCAAATGACAGAGCTAGGATTTGAACCCAGGTCTTCTGATTCCATACCTTTTCCCTATAAAACAGTATGCCTGCCTGCCTTTATTTTTTTAAAATTATCTATCTATTTATCTATGTGGATGTTTCAAGATTTCCTTTTCCCAAGGCTGTCCCATATTCCTTTACTTAGAAATTCCCCTTATTCTGATTCTTCCCTCCTTTCCTTCTTGTTCCATTTCTATCCTCTTTCAAGGCTATTGCCCCTCCTGCCCTAGAATTGTCATCCTTTCTTTGGTACTGGGCCAAAGAGAGAATATTTAACATATTTTATTTTTCTTCTCCTTCTGTCTCATTGTCATAAGTTAGATGTGAGGGTAGTTTCTTGACTGTCACCTAAATCCTGTGCTTCCTTGGACTTACTCAATTGCTCCTGAGACATTAACCTCATACTCTTTCACTAAGCTTATAATCTTTGTTGGGTTTTAAGTCCACTACACAGATGGCTTTGGCTGTGTTGAGGATGCCTTCTCTTTGTGTTCTTTATATTTGGATAGATCTGTAATTATAATTTATGAAGCATTGCATTGTGGGTGCAAGCTGATGATCCTGTGTGTTACGGGTTCTTTTAACCTTTTTTGTGTCATAGACCCTGCTAGCAATTGGTGAAACCCATAGATCTATTCTCATAATATTTTTAAATATATAAAATTAAATATATTTAATTGCAAAAAAAATTGTATTGAAATACAATTATTGAATTATTAAAACTGCAGGTTCACAGACCTTAAATTAAGAATCTCTGCCATGGATCTTTCACTCGCAAAGTCAGGAACAAGATAGGGAACATTTATTTTTTATTCAGTGGGTGTTAGGGGTTGGGAAGCATATCTTTTGCTGGCAAAATATAGTTGGAGGAATTTGCTCCTTCATTGTTCTTTTTCATAATTGGCTATATGCTCCAGGTTAAAGAATGGTATTCACTATATTGTAGCAAAGGTTTTCATTATTATATTCAGTCTCAACCAGCAAATACAGGCAACTGTTGGTTGTCTATCCTAAGTAGGAAGGATAGCACAGATCAATGAAATACTCATAAAACCAAGAACTTTAGTGTGGGCATTAGTTTCAGCTTCCTCCCCCATAATAGTTTACAAGGCCAATTTGAGATTCACCTCCTCTCTCTTCCCTGGATTTCTTTTGGTAAAAAGAAGCTGAGAAACAGCTAAAAGCCTGAAAGGAGGAGCAGGGGAATAGATCATCCATATATTATGTAACCAGCCCTTGAGCTATTAAGAGGTAGTTGATTGTAGGAAAGTAGACAAGTGCCTTAGACAGAATTTAATGATGACCAGAAGCTATGCTGCTTTGCTCTGCCATTGTCAGTCGAATATTTATGAGCAAGAGGATTTTATATCAATACGTTAACTTTTGGGGAATTAACTTGGAAATGTATTTTTGTGCAGGGAGAAGCAGGATTGCCTGGAGCTGCTGGCTTGCCTGGTCCTAAGGGTGACAAAGGGGAGCAGGTAAGATAGCCAATCTAATGTCGTTTGTTAGGGAAAATGTTTAGTATGAATAAAAAATTATACACATGCTTCTATGCAATTCTGCTCTGGCCTTTTCTAGCCTGGTACACATCGAAGATGTGGGGCAAAACATGCGTTTAATGAACAGCATAAAAATGCTAACAGCTGAAATCTGCAAGAACCCAGTAGGCTTGAAGCAATAGTTTTTAATTGCCATGTTGAATTCATAGAGAAACTGGCAACTGTCAGGGCTACATGCCTTGGTAGCTTTAAAGAACTCCAGGCAAAATTATGAGTTAGGCAAAATTTATTTTTGGTTCTCCTTCTCCAATCCTTCTTTCTCTTTTCCTCCTTTTCTTCTTCCTCCCCTCTTCTTTTCCTCCTCCTCGTCTTCCTACTTTTCCTCTTCTTCCTCCTCCTGTTCTTTCCCTTTGTTTTTCTGTCACTGCCAATCTCTGTACCTGTTTGTCTACTCCCTTGTTATATTTTTCCTTAAGCCCCCAGTGCATTCAGTCTGATTCTGTTTGCCTGGGTCCCAGTCCCAGGATGGGCTCTGGCATGGTATCATGCTCTAGAACAGAAATTCTTAATCTGTTTTGAGGCATGGCAGTCTGGTAAAGCCTGTGGACTGCTTTTCAGAAAAATATTTTGAAATATATAAAATAAAATACATAGGAATACAAAGGAAGGCAATTATATCAAAACATATTTACATAGTTATCATAATATTTAAAAAAAACAAATTCATGAAATATGTCCATGGTTAGAAACACTTGCTCTAGACCTTCTTCCTCTCTCTGTTCCCCCACTTGTCATTCCAATAAAAATTTATTCATCTGATATTTAATTCCTTCAAAGCTCTGTTCTCTAAGGACTAATAAAGATAAGCTAATTTGTGCTGTGGCAGTGGCTAAGCAATATATAATGTATTATATCTCTCAAGTAGTAGAGTTGCATTTTAGCAGGGTCTTTCAGCGCCCTAACCTTAAGGAGTGAATAATGTTAGAATTCCAGACAATGTGACAAGTCAGTGAATGAGTGGGGCATTCACTAGCACCCATCAAGTCACATCATGGGGGTGCTGTGTGGCAAAATATAATAGTAATAGTGATACAATTTAACTGGCCATAATTATAAACTTAACATTTGAATAGGGTCTCATGATTTAAAAAGCATTTTAATTTGTACTATCTCATTAAATTGATTTTTAAAACAATTCTGTGAAGCAGTTAGAATAAATATTCTCTCCATTTTACAGATGAGAAAACAGAGGCCAAGAGATATTAAATGACTTGCCTAAGGTCACAGCAAAGCAATAAAAGTAGGATTTGAAGTAAAATTTTAGGGCTCATCCCACAACTTCACACTTTTTTGTTGAAAAGTAATTAAGATCTGAGGTCATAATTTTACAATCCTTACCTTCAAGAAGTTTATAAAAATTTCCCTCCTTACCAAGCAATATCATTTTATGTGATTTTCCCCCGAAGTCAAGAGGTGTGTCACAGAATGGAACACATCGAGAAATACTAATTAAGGAGATCACTGACACAGATAATCTTCAACAACAGACATTTAAAAGATAATTTACCTTTGGGTTTGTTTTGCATGATAGGATTTCTTCATTCATTTTCACAGATACATTTTACAAATGACTTTCAACTTGTATTAATATTTACATTTTCATTTTGCTAAGTACACAACAACAAAAGTATCCCTAAGGTGTGGTGGGGAAAGTATGAAAACAGACTAGGATAAAAAAATTGGCTTTGGATTATCCATAAACTAAAAAACTGATAAACTTTTTAACAATATGAATATTAACATTTTTGTGATTTTTCTTTTGTTTTACATCACCTTCATTTCCAATTAAGTCTTCTCCTTGTGCCCTACCCAACAAGACATCCCTTGTAAAAAATAATTTTTTAGAAGAGAAAGAAAAAAACTTTCCACAAAATTAATCAAAACTGGTGCCTGACAACACATGTAATGTTCCACACACATAGTATTCCACCTCTGCAAGGAAAAGGAGGTGAATTTTTCTCATCTGTTCTCTAGGACCAAGCATGTTCATTATAATTGCTGCTCAGAATAAACTCAGGTTTTAAAAAGATACAATCATGAGATGGAAAATGGGGAGGTACATTAACATTTTATGAAGCTAATTAGACATTATGGCAAGCGAAAATGACTTCAGAATGCTTGGGATGTCAACTAACTTTTCTCTGAGCTCAAGCAAAGCTGAGCTGAGATCTCCTTAGACTTTTATTATCAAGTTTTTCTGTTGTCAGTTATTTTTCTCTTCTTTTTCTCTGCGTCCTCCTAACTTTAATATATTCTATAAGGAAAGGTGCCATCTTTTGTATTCCATACTAGCATAGATTTTACAGTGTTACAACAGGTACGCCAATAATGACTATGCAGTATGAAAATTAAAAAGTTAGTTTGCTTCCAGGCACACTAAACAGTTATTTGAAAATGATCATACAAAGTATAATGATACTGGGGGAATCATTTTTTTCTGTCCAGGTTTCTCCTGTAGATTACCAGTATAGGAAAGGACAATTTTTCCTATTTACATAGTTGTTATTTACAATTTTCAAGATTGGTGAGAATAAATAAATTAATCCACAAGCATTTATTAAGCACCTTCTGTGTGCCAGGTATATATGAATCACATCATGGTGAAGGGGATAGAGTCAGGACATAGACCAAGCCAAGAAAACCCAGGTCTATCACTTACTGGCTATGTTACCCTTGGCAAGTCATTCAACCTCAGTGCTCCAGGTAATGCTGTAAAATGATAAATCATTGAGCAGATACTTTTCCTAATACTCCAAGTTCCTAATATCCATTCCATCTCCCCCCAATCATCTTGTATGTATCTAGATATGCACATGTTGTCTCTCCCTCATTCGAATGTAAGCTCCTAGAGGGCACAAGATGTTTCACTTTTGTCTTGGTGTCCTTAATACCTAGCACAATGTTTGGCACATAATCCAAACTGAAGTGCTTATTGACTGTCTGTCATACCTAAATTAGTTGAAAGAGTTTCCTCACCAAGGGTTTCCTGTAGCAATAAAATCACAGACCTGGTCCAAAAATAATATGCCAAGAAATGCTGTTACAGTGATATCCATTCTACAAATGATTTGATGCTAGTAAAGGCTGTCAAAAATAAAGTAAGCTCGACTTGGGACCCACGTCTAGTAGTAGAAGGAGTACTAGATCTGGAGTCTGAAGCACAATGTTTTAGGGCCAGCTCTAGCACTTACTAGTTGTGTCCCATTGGCGTGGCATTTGACCTGATGTTTAATATTCTGTATTGTATGTAACATGGGAATAATAGTTTTACTACTTACCTCACAGAGTAGTTGTGAGGAATGTACCCTATAAATTTATACAAATATTAGTTATATTTATGTATTTATTTGTGTATTCTTTTTTTTTTAGGCAATTAGGGTTAAGTGACTTGCCCAGAGTCACACAGCTAACAAGTGTCAAGTGTTTGATCTGAGGCCAGATTTGAACTCAGGTCCTCCTGACTTCAGGGTTGGTGCTCTATCTACTGCACCACCTAGCTGCCCCTATTTTGTGTATTCTTATAGATGGACAAGTTATTTCTCTTGATGGAATATGAGCTTCTAGAGAGCAGGGACTATCTCACTTTTTTGCTTTTATATCTTCAGGACGTAGCAGAATGCTTAGTGCATAGTAGAAATTTAATAAATTCTTGTTGATTGATTGTTATTAATAATAAAGAATCTACTGTTGATTGATATTTTACTCAATGAAATTTTTGAGTCCTACTAAATAGTACAGCCATTATATTATAATTTACACGCCTTTTCCTAGAAAAGACCATTGTGGCAGCTGAATATTTCATATAAGAACCATGCCTTGGACGTAGACTTTTCTAGAGAATGAGTATCAGTGTACAAATTATTTCCTGTCTTTTGTAAGAAGGCAGTGTAACATAGAGGATAAAGTACTGGATTTAGAATCAGAAAAATGAGTTCAGTCATCACTTACTAGCTATGCGTGACCATAAAAAATTCACTTAACCTTTCTGAACCTCAGTTTCCTCATCTGTAAATAAGGATAACAATACCTGTAGTGTTTATGTTACAGGGCTTTTGTGAGGCTCACCTGAGAGAATGTATGTAATATGTTTGCAAACTTTAAAATGACAAGCACCACTCATCATTATTATTATTATTCAATGAATTTTAGTAGCACTAATAATAGCTATGCTTAATTAGTGATCATCCAGGATCAGTGTGAGGTGTTATTATTATTACTATTTTTGCTTATCCTTCTATAAGATTTGGGTTACTACTCTTAAGTGGCAAGTTATGTTTTGGGGACCTGCTAATTTGGAGTAATGTGGAATTTGATAATAAATGTTCAGGCCTCTTTCAGAATGATATAAATTTCCCTTTCTTTTTTTCCCACTTGCTACATAATGCCTGAAGACCTTCTGTCCTGACAATCCTTGTGTAAGTTGGCATCTATGCAAACAGCTGTTTATGTTTCTATTTAAGCATTATTTCAATTTAATTTTATAACCATTTATAATTATGAGAAAAACATCAACCAGAGTAGTCAGAGAACAAAGCTTTTGCCCCCCTACTAGCTTATGTTTTGAGAAACTGAGCAATTCTAGCTCCTTCTAAGCACCATTTAACCAAGGGAGTCTACCAAGAGGTACAAGGTGAACATTTTTTCAATGCTAGTTCCAGAAGCAAATGAGTTTTATGGTCAAATCCTATCTGTGGCAATATATTACTGCCATATATTATGGTATTGCTTTAAAAAAATCATCACACTATTATTGTTTTTCAGTTTTAAAAAGTTTTCTTATTTCTATTAGAACTGCTTTATCTTTAACTTCACTTTGTGAATGATATTCCAGTGTATCTGTGATGTCAAAGATGTAGGAAAACCATGTTTGGTATACATCAAAACTCATCTATGTCCTCATCTGGTGTGATTCTTATCCA